AACCAGGGCTGCAGCGATCCTCAACTAAAAAACAGTAGACATGTGTATAACACGAAATACATATGAATACACGCTGTATAATTATAACAAATAACTGTTATACGTATCAGCTGTGCCTGCATTCAAATTAACGATCGCTTCGTTGCAGCCCTTAAGCTAGCTGAGCAAATTGTGGCCTCTCTCTTACTCTTACTCACACTCTCACTCTCATCGTCTGCTGCTCTCTTGGCGACAACAGCCCTCTTCGTAATCCGAAAATCGAACTGCTTAGACAATACGTGCAACAACAAAATGGCCGAAACAGCTAAATATCTAAAATTAGCAGACAAATGCGAGCGTCGACGCCAACGTCGTCGTCGCAGATGCCGGCCGGGCAAACAGCGACTAGAACTAGCCTAAAGCAACTGCAACAATAACAACGATTGAGAGAGTGAAGAAGAGGAAGAGCGCGTGAGAGAAAAGCATAAACAATAATAATTGAGAGAGTAATTCAAGGTTAAGCAATCGACGGTACTGCTTGCCGAGCAAGGTGTATAAGCTTTGAACTGCTTGCCGAATAACGCGCCAAAACACAATTCGTTTCGAATCAATTTAATTGCTCTTGCATGTGGGTGTGGGAAAAGTTTTTATACGCATGACGTCAGAGGCTACTGACGTGCGGCCTTTTCTGTTCTTTCTTACTCAGCGTAATTGTACTGGAATAGCGCATGACTTGAAATTTCTTATCAAAGAATTTGTTTAGTTATCTCCGTTAAGTTCACTTTCTTTTGGCTTGTAGAAATGGCTGAGGAATGGAAGAAGGAATGTTTGGAGAGAGGAGAATAAGTTAGCAATTTTATAGAACAAGATAAAGTTGAGCTCTAGAACACAAAATTTAGTATGTGAGTTACTGTTGAGATTCTCTTCCTGAATACAAATTAATCCGGAAAAAATTTGTTAGTACGAATATAATATTATTATTTAATTATTGTATATATTATTATTTCTTTTTATCTTCATATATATTTAATTTTAATCTAGGGTAACCTTTAGTCGTGCGTTCCTTTTCTTCTTAGCAATATTTGCTTAATCTATCAATTTGCAAAAAAAAAAAAAACAACTTCTGTTCACACTCAAATGCAAATTTCATTCTACATTTCTAAAATGCAAAATTTTGTGATGATCTAATGCGCCAATCGCTTGGCCTGGAAGCTCGTAGCATTTTTTATAGATAAACAAATATATACATATTTACTTATGATACTATGTATCTATAAATCAATGTGAGCATGCAGTAGCCGGCACGTAAGCATTTCACCTTTAGCGAAAAGAAATCTATTTGGCAAAGCACAAAAGCCGGCCGGCTAAAAAATCAGGTGAAAGGCAGATTATGAACTTCAATTTCTGCTATATATATATATATATATATATANTAACCTTTAGTCGTGCGTTCCTTTTCTTCTTAGCAATATTTGCTTAATCTATCAATTTGCAAAAAAAAAAAAAACAACTTCTGTTCACACTCAAATGCAAATTTCATTCTACATTTCTAAAATGCAAAATTTTGTGATGATCTAATGCGCCAATCGCTTGGCCTGGAAGCTCGTAGCATTTTTTATAGATAAACAAATATATACATATTTACTTATGATACTATGTATCTATAAATCAATGTGAGCATGCAGTAGCCGGCACGTAAGCATTTCACCTTTAGCGAAAAGAAATCTATTTGGCAAAGCACAAAAGCCGGCCGGCTAAAAAATCAGGTGAAAGGCAGATTATGAACTTCAATTTCTGCTATATATATATATGTATATACATGTACATATATGTGAAGTCATATACAACAAATGTCTAATTATGAATCACAAAATAGCGTTGTTTGAATGTTTCAAACGGTTTGCAATAGGCGTTGAAACTATTTCCAGATTTATGAATCAACTTCAAAGAAAACAGGTTTGCGGTAGAGCAGTAAACAACTCAGCTATTTGCACTACTGAAACCATATTTGGTATAATTATAATATTGTACATATACTTTCCTACATTTCACATTTTTTTTATTGCTCGAGAAGTATTTAAGAGTTCGGACAATAAACTTTGATCTTGTATTTCAAGTATTTAGTTCTAATTACAATATTATATTTTTTTCATATCAGTCATAAATCCTAATCTCATCCTAAATATTTTTACGATCCAAACAGAAAGAAAAGTCTTGAATTCTTAAATTCATAGCTCGGTTCTGGCGCGAATCAAACCAAGAGTATTCCCTGTTCCACGTTATACTTAATACAAGTTTTTGCCATAAGAATGTCTCACTTGGTTCTCTTTATGGCTAAGACAAGTCGAAATCACGGAATTGTGACTCAGCGACTGCCTGCTAAGGCCCACAGAGCGTGGCGAGAATTCTCAGTGGGCAGTCCGGATTCGGAATCGAGTGCAAATGGGTATACTCCATGCGCATTAAGTATCTCTAGACTTTGCACCAAAACGGGGCATAAGTAGACTCGAGTCCAGCAATTGCTTTTACGTGCCAAGCGGGTGGCGCATCAAAAGCAGCCGCTAATTTTATGGCCTAAATAGGGGGCGACATAGATGGTGGGGAATGAAGAGAAAGATTTTAGCCATTAACTTGGTATATTCTCTATGTTAAAGCAGAAATCGTGGCTTATTTATAAAGCTTTAAATTGAGCTAAAACATTGTGAATATTAAAATATATTTCCACTTAAGGAAAACATATATTATTTTAAAGATTTTATTTAAACATTTTCTTATATTAGTCATTGGATTTACTTTGGAGACACACTTAAAAAATGTATTTACTAATTTGTATGTTGAGTCAAGTTTTGTGTTTAATCTTTTAAGCATTCTCCCAAAGGTTTTCTTTACGCTTTGAGCTCAACAACTGCTTAACATGGGCTCAGTCTATGTTAAGCTTAGCAGCTTAATGTAAAGTGCGCTCAGCTAACAGAGTTGAGTACTGTTATGTTAACTTTTTATTAAATTTTATTTTAGTATACAATTTGCCCACGACAAATTCTGTTGCCGGTTTGATATGAATCTGAGTCCGAGTTGTAGCTCAGGCCTAGAAAATTCTCACAGAGATTTAGTCTATATATATAGATAGAGTCAATTACTATATATATAAATATATATATGTAGTTAATGTGCTTGGGGCAAAGCTCAAGCGTTAGTCAGTCGAGAGCTGTCGAGAAACGTAAATACGTTGACTTTCATAAGCTGATGAAACTAGATTTAGTACATCTACTATATATTGTATATATATATGTGTGTGTGTGTGTGTGGACCCTATATGCCCATTATTGTTGTGCATGTTTCGCTGGCGTCGATTGCATGCGAGCCTCGTGTGAATGAAAGCGAGGGGGCGCCGCCTCCTCTCTATCTCCCCGCCCTCTCCTACGCCTTCAGCTGGCACCTTTGGCGCACGGCAGGCAGACGGCGTATCAGCTTGCATTTCAGTTGGTAGACGAGTAAAAAGGTTTTCCATTTTTCATTTCGCCAACTGAGGTTTATATACTCCATATAAAGCTAAGTCATGAAAGCGTTTAGCATGCGATCCGATTACCAATTTTTTGCTTTTGGTTTTTAGTCATTTTTTTTTTTTTTTTTTTTTATTTATTTATTTATTTTTTTTTTTGCTTTTGCCGCTTCAGTGCCAGCCACGGGGCGTGGCAGGGGCAGGGCGTTAAGGTAACTGAACTGCATTTATGCCCGTCCACTAATTATGTGGGCGTGGCACATTCACACACATACAGAAACACTTTGTTTTGGCCACAATTAATGCAGTTGGCCGTTTTTAGCTTTTGCGATTTTGTGTTGCGCGCTTTTAGGCGCTGGACGCAGAATTTTGTATGCTTTATGCAGGCTGTTTATAGGCGTTGCCCCGAGGGGGAAAAGCAAAGCTAGGCAATGCACATTAATAATAAAGTGCTATAAAAGGAAACGAAATAAGAGAGAGAGAGAAAATGAAATAGAAGCATTGCAGTAAATGCAGGGCAGAAAAGCCTTGCAATTAAAAAATTTTAGGCTCTTTCTTTAAATATAATAGATTTTGAGAAAAAAAAAAAAAAAAAAAACAACGAAAGAATAACGAAAATATTCTTAAAAATTGGATAGATCACAGAAAACATCATAAGTGAAGCTAAAGCTAGTCTTGTTCCGCTTAATAGATAAATTTAATACAAATTGATATTAAGTCAAGTTTAGTTCAAGTTAAGATTTATTGTAAATAAGAAAAATTATTTAGTTTAGTTGAAAGAGAATCCTATTTATCATAAAAATAGAACTTTCTATTCTAACTTGTACTCATTAGTCAACTTTTTCCAATAGAACGCCTCTCTAGTTCTCTCCTTAATGACTAGTTAAAGTCAAGGAATAAAGACTCAGGGACCGCCAAAGGCCCCAAAGCGTTTCGAGAACTCCCAGTGGACAGACCGGATTGAATTCGTACATAAAGTAAGCCTAGAGTATCTCACTGAGAGCTAGGTTCCATTTACAAGAGTATTTTCGTTTAGTCAAATTCCAATAAAATGAATTATCAGAACTTAAACGAAATATAATTCGGCCTATGCCTCCATTTATTACAGGGTATATAGAACAAACAAGTGCTTCGTAGTGCTTAGTGCTTAGTAGTGCAGTACTTAGAGCTTTAGTAATATAGTCAAGCATAAATTCAGGGTTGTTCATAGCAATTACAATAGACGCAGAGACAAGTGCACAACAATAAAATGCGTATAACAAAAAGCGGGGCATACTTTGAGGCATTATAGAGGCTGCTCAAGGGACAAACAAAAGTACAGATGGGGCAGAGGCGTGGCATAGCTACGCTTTGTGCGGGCGAAACAATGACATCATTATACAAATATTTCTATCTATATATATAACCCCTATATTGTGGACAAGAATCCATTTTCTTGCTGCTGTATTATGTACAGTTTGTTTGTTGCGATTGACAGTTATTTGTACAGTTTGACAAACACTGGGCCGCTCAATACACTTACCTAGCGGGTGCAAACGTTCGGGCTTGAACCAGGCATCTGCAAATAGGCGATGGACAATATTGATTTTCGTTAGTTTAGCGTTTTGGGTTTATATGTGTGTTGTTGTGCAAGGCAATTAGAGTGAGCCGAGAAAGAGATAGAAAATAAAAGTAGAGAAGGAGAGATATAGAGGGAGTAAAAGCGTGCATTAGGCGATGTTTCAAAGAAGCAATAAAAAACAACTAAAACATGCAAAACAAATTAGTAGACGTAAGTATAAGAGTTAGTATAAGAGCTAGAGCACCAGAGCAGACCCACGTAGCACTTGATTATACAACAAAATGCATTTCCATTCACCCATCGACAGTTAGTTATGTTTCTGATTGGTTATATGTATGCGTATCTATGCGTGTGTGTGCAAAACTTACTGGGATCCAAAATGGAGCAAATCAATGGCCGCTGCTTGCAGACGCCATTTTGTCCGGCCTCGCCAATCGTACACATTTTTCGTTAATACTCTTTCCTATTGGAATAAATTTGAATCACCAAGCAGTTGCTAAAGCACTTGCAATTATAATTACAACGTCACTTTCGATCTGCGTATTTATAAATTTCTGTATATTTCTTTCTTTTCTTTTACGCAGGCACTAAACAATGCACACAACGAGAGCGAGCAAGAGAGCAAGCTAGCGAACTACGACGTTACGTTAAACGTTAGGCAATTGCGTAAAAGAATTCACTGCCGTCCGTTAGGCACACGACGCGTATAGAGACTGAACGTAGGCTGAAAAAAAGCTTCAAAAGGACTAGTTCCAAAGCCAACGCAACGAGGGCTCGAGAGCGCGCTTCAAAGAGAGCGAGAGCGTGAGAGAGCGAACGAGCATTTAAGTGGAAGCGAATGCAAAATCGATAAGCGACCTGTGCACTAGGTTGAGCAACCGCGCTTAGCCCTGAACTCGCATTACTCGCATCTAATAAAAAGCTCTCGCTAAAGCTGGCAAATGTATCGATTAACAATTGCAGCTGACAGTAGCGCGTGTAGAGTCGGCAGAGCCGTTGCGTTACAACGCATGCGCTGTCTTTGTAGACTTCGAGTGGGCGTTGGGCCTAAGGGTTACACGGAAATTAACAGACAGCGGAGGCTATTGCTTATTTTTTCTTTTTTTGCTCTCCGATTTGTTAGTTTTATTTTTTTTTTTTCTTTTGGGCGCGGACCTGCACTGCTTGCAGCTGAGCTGCAGAGGTTGGGCTTGGGTTTGGCTCAGTCTAAGATTTTGATATGAATCCAATAAGCCGCCTGGACAGAGGGCGTCAAACATCTGCGTCTAGTTTTTCTTGTTTGCGTTTTTAGCTTCTTAGCTGCAATGCCTTACGATTTATGTTATATACTGTGTAAACAGTTATGCGAAATCTTAGTCACTTGCCAAGAGCAAATGGATTGGCAAGCATCTGAGAGACAGAGACGGAAGCTGACATTAGCTGGTTGTGCAATTCGAACTGTACTTCAATATTATTTTCATCAAAGTGCAATTAACCTAGAAATGCTTTATAAGTTCTTTTCCTTCTCCCTTCGTCGCTCTACTTTTCTCACATTATTTAAAACAGTTACTTGAGCCGTCATTAGAGAGCTTTATAGGCTTCTAGACTTCTTTTTAAGTAAAGGTCTGATCCCATAAAGTCCATATGTTTAACAGAATGTAAAATATGAATAACAAAACTCTTCTTGAAAGAAATTTGTCTCATAGAAGTTAGCTAAAAACCTTCCTGCTTATATAGTATAAATCTAGCAAAAGTTTCCAAAACATTCTTGATTAAGATAAGATCATCGAAATAAAAAATAAATAAAAAAAATAGGGTTTTACAACAACTAATGTTTTTCATATAGCCACCTTTACAAGTATATGCGCATTAATTAATATCAAACACCTTTTCATTAAGGCAATCCAAATAAATATATACATACATATAGTATATGAATATAAAAGATTATTTTCCACACTCGATTCGATCTATTTATGTCAAACTAATTTGTGTATACATATACTGAAGCAATGCACGTTGTGAGCTGTTAAGCAAACAAAAAAAGCGCTTTAATTTTATATTTAAAGTAAACAAAGAGTGGAACTGTAAGCTATTTATAAAAGAAAAGTGCCAGACTTGCTCCAAAATAAGAACTTTTTAAATTATTCATGTTTCTTTAAAAGAAACTCTCATTAGTTTTTTTTAGCCCACAACTCAGTTGGGAATCCAATTGGAACACGAATTGCACTTGGAACACAGTTGAACAAACACTAAAAGATTATTCACACTTTGTTTAGAGTTGTTTACAGCATTTACGGCGTGTCTCACTTCTTCTGGGGCTTTCACAAATTTCGTTACACTCTATTTAAATAATTTTCTTTTATCTTAAGCACAATCTGGAATAACATGATAAGTACATAGCCATTTATGTACGACAATATTCACAGTCTATTTATAAGAACCTCTAATTGCCTTTCGATTGCGGCATGACTGCGATGCCGGCGAGCCGAACTACAGTTACAAAGCAGACGATAAGTGTAAAGCAAAGGCGCTGATAAGTGCGGGCTTAGCCCATGTGCCAAGCCTCGAATCAGCGTGAAGAGCAAAGAGGGAACAGCAAGAGAAAGAGAGAGGTAAAGCCAATGCAAGGGCCTCCAGCTGCAAGCAGTGCTGCGAATTGCGATTTCTTAAAGCTAAATTTGACTTTTTTTATGACAAGTTTTTATAGCACATATAAAAGTTTATTATTATTAGTTTATTAGTACATATACAAATATAAATATATAACGATTTCATATTAGAATGTTTCTTTTATTAATTCGAGCAATTATCTTGGGTATTTTATATATATAATTCTCAAAATTCGCTTAAAATGTGAATATACCAATTTCTCAAAAACCCAAATCTTGAAGAAATTTATTTAGTTTATAAATGTTCGGCCCAGTTAAGGTATTTTTGAACTTTAAGTGACTATCTCACACAACATTTACCTTTATTTTAGCTTTATTGCACAATTTTTACAGCCAGCACTAATACGTGCACACACACACTTGCAATTTGCATGTGAGGAAGAAAGCGAGGAGAAAAAAGCAACTGGTAAAGAAAATGCATTATCGTTATCGATACTGTGTCTACAGCTGGGTCGATGACGAGCCGCAAAGTCAATGCCAATTGGAAGCAAAAAAGAAGAGGCACACATAATGTAAGACCGGGAGACAGGCGGACAGCCAGTCAGACATTTAGCGTATAGTCGCCATAAAAATAGCAAATAAAGACAAAGGCGAAGGCAAAGGCAAAGGCATTGCCGCGGATGCAACCAAACAAGAAAGAAATTACTAATTGGAAAATTTTGCCGGCATGCGGCGAAAATAAAGACGCAGATTGAAAAAAAGAGCACATCAAGTAGGTTGATTGACTGACTGCCAAATACTCTCTACACTGTGAAATTACTAATTAAAATTTAGACTTTTTAAATTACACTGTGGAATTACTAATTAAACTTAAGACTTTGTAACTGAATTTAAATGGATATATGCATATATTTCTAGTCCAGCATTGTAAAAGTCAATATACTCTATTGCTCTTAACGAACGGGGTATATAAATCTGATACTGAAATGAATTTGCGCAGTGAAGCGGGCCCCTAACTAGACAATTGAATTATGCAGGCAAGGCTTAAATTAAAGAGTACTCGAAACGGCAGCAGCAGCAACAGCAACAGCAACAGCAACAGCAACAGTAACAGCAGCTGCTAGCGCTCTGTCTCCCTGCCTGCCGCTTTTCTCTTTTGCTATAATTGCTTTAATGGACATACGCTAAAATGTATGTAGCTCGAAAACTAGAAAGAACAAAATTAAATGTGAAATATGAATTATGAATGCTGTGCCACACGTCAATGGACGGCAGGGCAGCATGAGCAGCGGCAGCAGCAGCAGCAGAAGCTGAGCAACAAAGTTGCTGATTCATCAGAGTCTAATACGAATACAATAAATTGTATATGTATAAATATATAAGAAAATCACATTAAAACTATGCCATATAAAATATATACGCAAGTTCTATTGACTAATTTAAGCATAATTGCGCAGCCGTGACTCACGATGAATCTAACGATGACGACGATAGTATTTCTAGGCCATTCGATCAGGGCTGCCCAATGTTAGCTACTCTTGTGCGTGCAATTCAAGTTTTTTTTTTTTATTTTATTAGCTTTTATTCATCAAATTTAGCCAATTGTAATTTTAAAGCTAGTCACTGCAGCTAAATGGCTAAATTTCTATCGATAGTTGGCTGCACTCTGAATGGCGATCCGCTGCGCTGGAAAGCTCCGCAAGAGAGAGCGAGAGCATCGTAGCGAGCGAATGGTAGCGAGGGTCGGTGAGAGATTGCATGCAAATTTTGAGCCGTAACGAAAAGCGTTTGCCAACTGAAATTCAATTCGCGTCAAATACATACATATAAAAATATTCAAGCATTGTTGTATTTATTGTGTACATTAAAAACAGCGCAAAACTTGATGCCGATGACATCAGCGAGCGCAAAAAATAAGAACTAAATGCCAAAGCCGTAAAGCAAAAGGCACGCAGGCTACAAAGAGAGGAGACAGAGAATGAGAGTATGTGGAGAAGAGAGCGTGCAAGCGGCTTGTTTACTGTTTAACAAAAAAAGAGTGACTAAGTACAAATATAAAACCAAGAACAGTAACAACAACAACAGCAACAACATCCGCTCTGTAACAGAGTGACCAGAGCGGCGAGGTGACGTTTACGCCCAAAGGTGCGGTCGAGGATACGCAGGAGGGAGTGAGACAAAAATAACAACAAAACACAAATGAACAAAAAAACATGATGACTAGTTGTCAGGCACAAAAACTAATTAGATACAGAATGATAACGAAAAACAATAATATATATTTATGTATATGTCAGATACATTTATTCTATACACATGCTGCAGATATATTGTACTTATCAGAATGATCACCTAATAAAGAGCGAATTGCTAAACGGGCTTTATCAAAACTTGGCAATTTCGCCAATTTGAGGACTGTAAATATGATATCAATGCATGAAATATTGGAAACCACTTTTGATACATTATATAAATTTCTTGATACATTACATAAATTTTTATGTTTTAAATGCTTGAATTTATTCAGTTTAAAACTTAGTCTTTTGAAAATCTTTAGTAATAAATTATTTCAAATATTTTAGAGCTTTTGGAGTATGATATTGAAAAAACATATTCTGCTCTGAAAATTTCTCTTGATTCGCACTTGCTTATATATCGTAGAATAGGTTGAATTGACTTTATCTCATTAAATTTCCATTTTTTATTATTTTTGAGCTTTTCAGACATATTATTCCTATGATTAGTTATATATAGGTAGGTTAGGTATATATACATATATATCAGACAAACTGCACCTATATTCGATTGATCATATTTGACACTATCTGAAGCAAGTCTATTAAATATTCGACTAGCCGAAGCTCTTTTGGGTCTCATATGAAATATTTATTTTGTATCTTCACTTACCAAGTCCGTACTTGTAAAAGATTTCCTCCACAGATACGATTTTTGGTTGTTGTTGTTGCTGTTGCTTTTGAGGTGGCTGCTGCTTGGCTGGCTCCGGCTTGGCTGGCTCCACCTTGGGCGGCACCACCTTGGGCGGGTCTACCTTTGGTGGCACCACTTTCGGAGGCTCGACCTTGGCCTCCGGCTTAGCAACAAAATCGTCATCATCCAAATCGGTAATCAAAGCAGGAGTAGAAGACGGAATCGGAACTGCGGCTGGAGCCGGAACTGCTGCGGTAGCTGCTACATCCTTGAAATCACTGAGCAGATCCTCGGAAGAGATGAATTTCTCGTTGTCCTGCTCCTTGAGAGCATCGGCAATGGGCTTCTTAGCCGGCGAAGGAGTATACGAGACAGAGGGTGAATCTGTATCCGAATCCTTGTTGGCCACAGCAGGAGTTGGAGCTGGCGCTGGAGCCACAGGAGCAACTGGAGCAGCAGCTGGAGTTGGTTTGATTAGGAAGTCATCGTCGTCATCATCATAAAACTGGTCGTGAGCTGAGGGCGCAGTTGGCTCAAAGGGCTGCAAGGGAGCAGTGGTTACTGGCTTGAAGCCCAGCAAATCCTCCTCCTGATCGTGGAGAGGCTTGACAGGTGCAGCAGCAGCTGCAACTGGCGCAGGTGCTGCAGCGGGAGCTGAAGGAGGAGCCACTTTGTTAGCATCTCCGAACATTCCGCGCTCAACATTCATAAAGTCGCTAGTCAACTCGCCCACATTCTGCTTGACATCCTTCACACCCTGCTTTAGGAAGTCTCCAAAATCATCCGCTTTCTGTGCAAACTTTGCATCCAGCTGCTCCTGCGCCTCCTTCGCCCCGGCGGACATGCGCTGCACGAATGCCTGTGGATCACCGAAATCCAGATTCTTTTGCTCATTGGCAAAATACTTTTCGGTATGGGCATTATCGTCCTGCACACCTTCGCCGCTGACGTTGGCGCTGCCGCTGCCGACGTTAACGTCGCCGAGCAAATCATCGTAGGTATTGCTGACCTGCTTGCTGGCTGCATTGAAAATGTCCTCAGCCGTATTGGCCGCCTCCTTCTTCAGATCCGCAAAATTGAAGTCCATTTTACAATGCAATTAATCTCCTCTTGCTTAAGATTGTTTTTGTTGTTGCTGTTAGCAATTGCAGCTTTGGTATCCTTTATGCTGATTGGATTATGGCTTACACTCTCACACACATATATGAATGGGTTCGCATACACACACGCACACGGACGCTTACGCACGCAGTCGACCGGCCTAATAGTCGCTCTTTCGCCTTTWAGTTTCGTTGAATTTATTTATTTCTAGTATTTAAATGTCTGTTAGAGATTTTGAGTTTAGTTTCGTTTGCAACGTTTCGACCGTTCTACTTAAAATTTAATTTGTCTTATAATGCGTTAAACGTGCACAGCAACTTCTCTGTTTGAAAAATGAAATGAGACTGCGCGATGGTGTGACCACACAATGAAAAGCCTCAAATGTTGACACATATACGAACTTCATGACAACCCTGGCTTAGAGATGGACTACTCACAAATATTTCCAGCAACACATTACGATATCTTAATACACACTAAATTTAATCGTATTTTAAAACAAGCGTCAGTTGATCTAAAGAATGGAATATTTATACTACTATTATTTTTTAACGTCAGCAAGTTGATATTACAGCTGATATCGTGATCCATTAGCTGACCTATCGATATGCACTCAACTAAGCTTTAGTGTCATCGATGTATTTCAAAGACAGCAGTTAATATTTCATGTTTATTGCAAGAATGCTAAAACTAATTTACATTTTGTATTGGGGATTTTAATAGCTATACAACCAAACTCACGCGGTCCACTTTAGACAACGGGTATCCTGATGAGTACGCAGGCAGCGAACGCGACAATAACGCGTCCCGCACGCCGTGCACGAATATTGAGAAAAGTTGCCACAAACGGCACAAAAATGACGGACTGGCTTTTGAGGCGGCGGCGCAGCTGCGCTCTCGTAGTTGGGCCTCTGTTTGTCCTCCTCGAGCAGTTGTTGAAAATTTTTGCGATATTTGGCACGAAAGTATTCGGCTCCTTTTCGCTTACCCTTCTTCTCCTTGGCATTCTTTATGCTCTCCTGGAATTTGGGTAGTTTTTTTGACATTACCAAATCTGCGTGCGGATCATCTTGAAAGTTATCCCGCTCGAGAGCTTCCAGAGCTTTTCGTGCACGTCGCAGCCGTGCAGCTTCATCTAACACCCGTTTCTTCTCCGCGTCCTTAATGCGATGCGATTCGCGGCCCGTCATAATTTTGGTTGTAGCTAGTGATTTTATGTAAAGTTTATGGATCCTTCTCGTGAAGTGGAAAACTAATGCGATCCATTAACTCATCAACACGCGCCTGAAGCACCTCAACAATATCCGTGGAAATAAACAAATGATTCTCGTCCAAGTCTTGTATGATAAATTTTCGACCCAACGCCAGTTTCTCATCCAAATGTAGTAAAAATTGTTTCATAGCCGGATCACTACAACGAATTTCTTTGAAGCGATTATTAAAACGACTTAATTGTCTACTTACCATTCAACGAGCACTCCTTTCATAACATTTACCATGTTTTATGGCAGTAAAATCATTTGAGCAAGCTGCAAATTCTAGAACAAAATGCTAACTACTGATTTTTCGATATGCCGATAACAACAACATTGACATTCACAGAAAAAGGGAACAAGTATTGTTAATCTGTGTTGGCAGTTGCGGTATTCTATGCGATTAAATTGAACAGCTGTTCAATACTATCTGCAACATTAGTTGAAATACAAAATGATTTAGATTAGGAGCTCATTTCCTATACAGACACTCCATAAAATTTGAAACTTTGAAAGTGACAATATTTAATAAGTATATAGCTTTATTATTATGCGGACACCGGCAATAATAATTTCGACTGCGCAGCCGAACCGCAATCGATAATTTTGTCCACCGATAAATTGTTTTAGTATTGTTCTAACGCGCAGCCAGCCAAACAGGGAAAATAAATAAATAATATTTATTTAGGTGGTTTCGTGTGGCGTTTATATGATGTGGAAGCATTTTACAGTCACATTTACGCTGCTTGCCTGTTTTGCCACCCTGGCATCTGGCAAATCAGATCCCGGCATCATTGACGTTGTTATAGATCAGGTAAAAACGGAAAAACCAAAACAAAAACTATGTATAATGAATGTACGAATGATTCCCATTTGTTTAGGATCTGCAACCGATTGTGGAGCAGCGTCCGCTATTAGCAAATACGAAGATTTACATAAAACGTAAGTGCACTGAATTTTGCAACGTGAGCAATTTGCAATAACTGGAAACTTTTTACTGCCGCCCTTTACCCCCTCGCTTTAACCTCTTACGTCTTTCTGATCTCTCCCTTATTGTCTTACTCCTTTCATATAGTTGAATGCTCTTCCGAAGGGGAAGTTCCATTAACTATAAACTTTAAGCTGACGCAACATCCATGTCTATACGAAGCTCGATTTGTAAGTAACCTATATATATGTACATATATTTATTTTTCTTAATACTGACTAAAAACGTTTATTCAGCTGCAGGCACTCAACGACAAACCGAATCTACAGAAAAATGTTAGCTTAAGCCATCTTGTGAAATCCACAAGCAAATATGCCAACTGCACGCATCTTATTGTACTCAGCGATGACACCGACGACGCCAACAAGCAGGCGCAGGAGGAAGTGCATGAGCTGAAGAAGAGCCAAAATCCACTTGCGGTAATTTCGATGGCAACATTTTCTTTCTATAACTGGTGTGTGTGCATGTGTGTGTGTGTGACTCAGTAGCGAATACCTAAAGCGCACTATATATGTGTTATCTGAAACTTCTACTTATCACACTGCGTACTAATGGTTAGGCTGTTCCATGCGGAAGTACGAGAATGGTGGTTAAAAATACTTTTCTTAGGAAACATGCTTGTGTAAAAAGTAGTTAGTAGTAGTTAATGTTAGGTATATGTATGTATAAAAATCTTAGGTATATATACATATACTATATAGTCTAGATACTATACTATACTATGTTTAGGCACTGAAATAGAAGCTTTATCATAAGTGGTAATATGTTAACCCCTCTAGTTAAGACTTATTATTGATATAGAACGCCGTTGTGAGTCCGTAAATAAGCAGTTGTTATAGTAACCTGATTGCTTGACATTTGATGCGAAAATATTAATTTAGATATGATAAATATTATATATAGATAATTGAAATACTATTTTACTTTGTAAAGCTTCATCAGATTTGTTAGATATATAAAACAGATTTAACGATTTTGCTCATAAGTATCCGCATACCTATCAGCAATACCTAAGAAATATGGAAATGTGTTATATATTATAATTATAGCTAAAAACTGTTAAAAACAAGTTTTTGTATTGATGTATTAATATATGTAAATGAGTAACTATATGCAAATTATTAGAAGCCTTAAACATTGTAAACCAGATAGAACAGCGTTAGTACATAAGAATATCCATATTTATAGTTTATAATTAATAATAAGCAGCAGATTAAATTAGGCAGACGTATTCTAGTGTACAGCAAATCTTATAAATTCACTTTTGTAGGCAAAGCCCAAGGCAATTGCGAGCATTGCTGAAGATGGCATCTACGAGCTGGAGCTTACCATATTAACAAATCCACCTGGTCAACCTTTTCGTGCAACGGTGCATATTGAATTCCTCGGTCCACATGGCTACATATCAGCCATCGATTGGCCCTTTTTGCCGGTAATGATTTGAACAAGTTATTTCTGCTATATATGTTACTATATATTTTAACTAACTTTTACAGTTCTATCTGGTCATGTGTGTGGTTTACGTTATATTTGGCATAATTTGGCTATTTGTTTCATTTGCACAATGGCGCGATTTGCTGCGCATACAATTCTGGATAGGAGGCGTCATATTGCTTGGAATGTTGGAGAAGGCCTTCTTCTATGCAGAGTATCAGACAGTGTCCAATACAGGGCATCCGGTGCAGCATGCCGAACTAGTTGCTGAGTTTGTCTCCTGCGCCAAGCGCACACTAGCCCGCATGTTGGTCATCATAATGAGCCTGGGCTTCGGCATAGTCAAGTAATAGAATATGAAGGGCTAAATCTGAAGCCTATTTTAATTATAACTTTAATTTGTATATTTTGACAGACCTCGCTTGGGTCCCATGCTGCATCGCGTTGTGGGCGTGGGCACTTTATACTTTGTACTGGCCTGCGTGGAGAGTTATTTGCGTATTACCCGGGTCAAAAGCGATCGCAGTGAGCTGCTCCTATCTACCATTCCGCTCGCTGTTCTGGACACTGTAATTTGCTGGTGGATATTTACGTCACTCGTACAGACAACGCGCACGTTGCGACTGCGCAGAAACATGGTTAAGCTCTCACTGTATAGACACTTTACAAATACGCTAATATTCGCTGTTATTGCCTCGTTGGTCTTTATGTTGTTTGCTTTGCGTTTGCGTAAGACCGAGAGCTGCACACCTGTGAGTCCAACTCCAAATTTTCCATTGGCTATGCCTATATATTTGAATTTCACAGGGTTGGCATGATATCTGGCTAGATACAGGCTTTTGGCATATACTGTTCTCTGTGCTATTGCTGGTCATTATGATTCTTTGGCGACCCACAAATAATAATCAGCGATATGCATTTACGCCGCTACTGGATAATCCAGAGGATGAGGACGATGAGGGTTAGCTAGAACAACAATTTACAATTATTAATGCATAAGTTAACTCTCTCTCTTACGCTTACAGATGAAGAGGATCAGTTTGTGGCAGATGCGTATGGCATTAAGATGCGTGGCTCCCATCAAAATGGCAACGCACAAACCACTAAAAATGCACGCGCGGCCACAACCACCGAAGATGATGATTTGCGTTGGGTGGAGGAGAATATACCCTCATCAATGGGTGATCCAGCATTGCCTGTGCTCGATTCCGATGAGGAAATCATAAATACTAAGTTTGAAGTTTCCAAAATGCAATAAGCTGTGTACCTAAGAGACTTTTACATATATATATTTACATAT